TTTTTTCTTTTTTGCCACAGAATTTTTGTTATTGTTTTTCAGTTGCTAAGTCATGTCCAACTCTTTGTGACCCCTTGAACTACAGCACACCAAGCTCTCCTGTCTTTCACTGTCTCCAAGTTATCACACCACAGAATATAGAGTCCAGAAGTAGTATCACACATGTTTATTTATGACAAAATTGTGCCCAATGGTATTCAATAGGGAAGAATTTTTTTCCACAATAAATGATGCTGGTACAATTAGATACTCATATATGATTTTTTAAAAAAATAAACCTTGACCCCCTCCCTTACACCATACAAAAACATCGATTTGAAATGGATTACTGAAAAGTTTTCTAAAATGAAACCTGGCAGAATATCTTTATGACCTTGGAGACACACACACACAAAACTACCAACCATAAAAGAAAATATTGATAAAGTGGTCTTCATTCAAATCCCTGCTTTGAGTCTTCAGCAGTGTATTCTCTGTTTCATTAAAAAAGTATTTGGGAAAAAAAGATACCAAGGTTAGTGAAGATGGGAAGGACCTGGAGCTCTGATTCATTGCTGGTAGAAATGTACATTGGTACAACCGCTTTGGAAAATTGGCAGTATCTGCTAAAACTATACATGCTTCTATCCTAGCAGTGACCCAACAATCCCACTCCTAGATGTATATTCAGTTGAAATGAGTATATCTGTTTACCATAATATGTACCAAAAAGTGTTCAAGATAGCTCTATTTATGAGGTAAAGATTTAAAACAACCCTAGTAACCATCAATAGGAAGATGGATTAAATAAGCTGTGGTATATTCATACAGTGGAATACTACAAAGCAATAAAAGGAATGAATACCACAGACGACATGAGCAAAAGAAGTCAGACACAAAGGAATGTTACAGAGTATAAAGTCATTTTTTAAAATAATTTTTTTGTAATATAATTCAAATCATATGCCATACAATTCATACTTAAAATATCAGTGGATTTAGTATATTCACAGATATGTGCAACCACCATCAACAGTCAATTTTAGAATATTTTATCACCTCAAAAAGAAATTCTGTACTCAATTAGGTTCTGTACCCAATTAGGCTTCCCTGGTGGCTCAGTGGTAAAGAATCCAATGGTAAAGTGGTAAAGAATGCAATGAGGGAGACCTGGGTTTGATCCCTGGGTTGGGAAGATCCCCTGAAGAAGGGAACAGCTACCCACTCCAGTATTCTGGCCTGGAGAATACCATGGACTATATAGTCCATGGAGTCGCAAGGAGTTGGACTTGACTGAGTGACTTTCACTTTCCATCACATCCCCATCCCTACATTCACCCTGCCAGGAGTGCTAAGCAACCACTAAGCTACTTCGTGTCTCTATAGATTTGCATATTTTGGACATTTCATATAAATGGAATCACATAATATGTGGACTTTTTGTGACTACATTCTTTCACTTAGCTTAGTGTTTCCAAAGTTCATCTATGTTGTGGCATGTATCAGTACTTCATTCCTGTTTTGTAATCAAATAATATTCCATTGTATGAATACACTACATTTTGTTCATCAGTTGGTAGACATTTGAGTTGTTTCCATCTTTTGGATATTATGACTAATACTGTTGTAAACATTTATGCACAGATTTTTGTGAGGACATGTTTTTAATTTCTTTTGGGTTATATGGTAACTCTATGTTTAATCATTTGAGGACCTGCCAAACCATTTTCCGAAGTGGCTGTACCATTTTATATTGTCATCAATAGTGTTACGTAGTTGTTATTCAGTCACTAAGTCATGTCTGAATCTTTTGTGACCCCATGGACTATAGCCCGCCAGGCTCCTCTGTCCATGGGATTTCCCAGGCAAGAATATTGGAGTGGGTTGCCATTTCCCTCTTCAGGGTATCTTCCCAAACCAGGGATCAAACCTATGTCTCCTGCATTGGCAGGTGGATTCTTCACCACTAAGCTCACAATGGAATATTATTCAGCCATTAAAAAGAATGAAATTCTACATTTGTAATGTGGATGGACCTAGAGAATATTACACTAGTGAAATAAGTCAGAAGAAGACAAATACTCTATGTTATCCCTTATATGTGGAATCTAAAAAAAGTAAACAAACCAATGTACATAACAACAGAAACGGATTCACAGGTATAGAGAACAAACTAATGGTTACCCATGGGGAAAGTGAAGGGGTTGGAGGCAATACAGGAGTATGGGATTAACACGTACAAACTACTATGTATAAAACAGACAAGCAGCAAGGATATGTTGTATAGCACAGTGAAATATAGCCATTGTTTTGTAATAACTTCAAATTGAATGTAGCCTATAAAAATATTGAATCACTATGTTGTACACCTAAAACTAACAATATTGTAAATCAGCTATGCTTCAATTTTATCTTTCTATTAAACTTTTTATTTTATATTGGAATATAGCCAATTAACAGTGTTGTGATAGTTTCAGGTAGATAGCAAAGGGACTCAGCCATGCATATATATGTATCCATTCTCCCCCAAAGTCTCTTCCATCCAGGCTTCTACATAACATTGACCAGAGTTCCTTGTGCTGTACAGTAGGTCCTTGTTGGTTATCCATTTTATTTTTTCAGTTTTTTCTTTTTAAAAAATTTATTTTTAATTGGAGGATAATTGCTTTACAGTATTGTGTTGGTTTCTGCCATCCATCAATATGAATCAGCCATAGGTATCAATATGTCCCCTCCCACTTAAGTCTCCATCCCACCCCTCTAGGTTATTACAGAGCACCTGATTTGAGCTCCCTACATCATACAGTAAATTTCCAGTGGCTATCTAATTTTACATATGGTAATATATATTTTCTTTGCTACTCTCTCAATTCATCCCATTTCCCTACCCCCATATCCACAAATCTGTTCTCTATGTCTATGTCTGTGACTCCATTGCTGCCTTGCAGATAGGTTCATCAGTACCATCTTTCTAGATTCCATATGTATACATTACTATATGATATTTGTCTTTCTTTTTCTTATTTCACTCGTATAATATATAATACTGTGTACATGGCCATTACAAACCCCCTATCCCTTTCCCCATCCTTCCCCCGGCAATCATAAGTTTATTCTCTAAGTCTATGATTCTGTTTCTTATACTTCAGTTTTTTTTTTAAATGTACTTTTAAATAATCAAATGGATCGAAGAGAAATTCATAGGGGAAGTTAGAAATAGTTTGAAGGAAGTAAATGAAAGCACAGCATATAAAAATTTGGAGGTACAGCTAAAGTAGTGTTTAGACAGAAGTTTGTAGAATTAAATGCCTCAATTAGAAAAAGATCTTAAATAATCTAAGCCTTCACCTTAAAAAACCAGGGAAAAATCAAATTGAACCAAATTAAGCAGAATGAAAGGAATAATATAAGCAGAAGTCAATAAGATTTAAAACAGGAAACAATAGATAAAATTGATGAAAACAAAAGCTGTTTTGTTGTTGCTGTTTATCAACGCGATTGAGAAACCTCTAGCCAGGCAGATCAAGACACAAATTAACAATGTCAAGAATGATAGTGTAGATATCACTGCAGATCCTACAGACATTAAAAAAAGATAACAAGGGAATATTCTGAACAAATTTATGCCCATTAATTTGAAGGGTTAGATGAGACTGACAAATTCCTTTGAAAGTCAAACTACCAAAACTCCCATAAAAAGAAACAGATAACTTGAATTGTCCTATACCCATTGAATTCATAGTTTAAAATCTAACAGATTTTAACCAAGTGAGGTTTGTCCTGGTTTCAATATTATAAACTCAGTTAATTCACCATATCAACAGATAAGTGACAAGATTCAATATCCATTTATTATAGAAACTCTCAACTAAACAGGAGTAGTGGGAAAGTTCCTTAACCTGATAAAAGCCATCCATAAAAAATAAAACTTGCAGCTAATGTCATTTTAATGATGAAAGACAGAATACTTCCCCTCTAAGGACATAAACAAGTCAAGAATATCTAGTTTCACTACTCCTGGTCATCATCATCCTGGTGGTTCTAACCAATGCAATAAGGCAAGCAAAAGAGTGGGAAAAGATGTGTAGAGTGAAAAAGATCAAATAAAACTATCTGTATTTTCAAAGGACACATAATTCTCTATATAGAAAGTCCAAAGAATCTATCAAAAGAATTACAGGAACTAGTAAATGAATTAAGCAAGTCACAGGATACAGGTCAATATTCAAAAGATGGTTATAGTTCTCCCTGCTGTCACTGATGTTCAATAATAAAAATAACTATCAGTAGTGATAGAAGTCAAAATAGTTGTTAACTCTGCAAAGGTGGTATTAACTGGAAAGGAGCACGAGTGTTGGAAGTGTTCTATATCATGATTTGGGTAATGGTTACATGGGTTTTAACAGACATAAAAATTCACTGTTTTAAGATTTAAAATTCACATATTTAAGATTAATGCACTTGTTTATCATATATATGCTATACCTCAAAACTTTTGAAAATGGTCAGTCTAATAAGGGTGATTGGAAACCAACTCACATAGTATGATATATGCCACCTGGTACAAGATTCTGCCCATGGGATAACCAAGAAATAAATGTTATTGACTGACTAAGTGAAACAGTTTGGAAACTTTCGCTTACTTAGTTGAAAATAAAACTACAGTTGTTTTATATTGTCCTGGATCTTCTGGTTAATTCAGTCATTAAAGTAAGGCAGGTAAATATTATATTTGAATTAGATAGCAGCAAGAGTTTTCCAGGCTATTTAGAAATATCATGGCAATAATTTCAGGAAGTGTAGACAACTCTAGTGAATGTATTTCAGGGTGTGGAAGTATTGGTAAGTTTATAGATTTAAAAATGTAAAAGATGTATCTAAAGGAGCTGAGATAATCTCAAATTACTTGTAAGTAGAATTAATTTTCCTCAATAGGAAAATCTCCCCAGAAGACAGATTAGAATAGGAGGAAATAATGAAATGTAATCACAGAGAATGTTGCATTTTTGTCTCTTTCTTAGGGGACTTCTCAGGTGATCCATGCGGGACATTGCTTCTGCTGTATGAGTTTGAAGTGAGAGCCAAACTGAATGACCCATTACTGGACCACTTCCTGGCACCAATGTGGGAACTACCTCATTTAGAAAGTAAAACATTTGAAATAATTGCAGGTAAGAGCTAAATTTGTTTTTGGAAGGCTGGTACCCATTTAAATCATACTACATTTTTCTTTCTTCTCTCTATTCTCTTTCATCCAGGTGGGAAGCAGTGTATCCCTATAGAACTTTGTTCTCCTTCTCTAATAGCATTCTTGAACTATTCTGTATTACAATCATTTGTGCATTTATCTTACTCTTTATATGAAATTATAAGCTCCTTAGAATCATGAGTAATAATTACTTACATTTGCTGTACTTATAAACCCTAGCAATGTGCATTGCTCATAATAGGTGCTTATATTTATTTTGTGTAGAATCAAATAATGTAACTACACAATAGGGATAATAGCTCAAACTTAAAGTTTTGCTCAGCTAGGTAGAAATAGTTAATCAGCTGCTTCACTAATCAAAGGTGATACAATCTTAGTTATTTATTAAAGTGTACAGAGAAATATTGGTGATATTTTTAACATAATTGCCAGCCTCAAATTTTTCATTGGGCTATAAGTGGTATTTGGGGACTCAGCCTCTGTGGGGATATACTGCAAGACATGGCCTAATTATCTTCCCTTTATATCTTTCACCCTCCTCAGGAGCCTGTACATGGCTAATAAAGGTATTGGATAGCCCCAAATGTACAAGAGTCACATTTGCCTCTCCTTATTTTGCCAAGACAGAATTTCTAGGAACATGGAGCTGGTGGTGTATACCTTATAGCTATGTGATGGTGACCACTGCTCCTTGTATAATGGAACTCCAATTCTAGAGGCCTGGTGAATGCATCTAGAAGTTTTGAGAGTTTTATCTCCTATATGTACTCTTATGCCAAGGGTTTCCCGTTTTTAATATTAGATAGAAACAGTATATTATAGTATAAATTTGGGGTGTTTTTTTTTTTTCATTAATTCTGAGCTCAGATCAAGTGTAGACATCTTCATAGTTATAAAGGTCTATAGTAAAACCTTTTCATCATTGCTCAGAAATGATCAGCATTTCATATACACACACCCTCAGTCCACTCTCATTCACCCACCAGTAAGTTCTCAGTTATCCACTGTCACCATTACACATGTGCGCATGCACACACACACACACACACACACATACCTTATTGTTTTAAAAACATTGTTCTTTTGCTTTTTGGAACTATAAAGATCATGCATCTGGTAAACTAAGAGGTTTTCTGATGCTCAGATTTGACTACTTTCATTATTGATCCACTTCAGTAAAAACAGATCGTGGAGAATATAAATGTGTTTTTGATTAGTACCTTTTTATTGATCTGCTTTCTGTTTTTTTCTTCATGTGCCCCTCCTTCACTTTGGCTCATAAGATTATTACTTTGCCTATATGACTATGTGCTGAGTCACAGAAACAGTAGGTTCTCTGTTGATGTTTACTGGAAAAAATATATATATACATATATAACCTAGTGATCCTACAATGTTACTCTGCCCAGAAAGTAGAAGTTATTTTCTGAAAGCCACTACAGATTCATCATATTATGAATTTCATTTTTGGAGTTTTGTGTTTGTTTTTCTATCTGTTTCAGGTCAGTTTCATTAGAGAAAACAAGTTGTAACATAGGATGAAAACTCAATGGATGAGATTATGATGTTCACAATCTTTTTGCTTCCCTTCTTATAGCATTAGCAATGGAAATGCCTGCATGCTATCCTTCTATTGCTCTGAGGGCCTTGAAAAAGGCTTTGTTTTTCCACAAAAGGAAAGAATCAATTGATGTTTTGAGATACAGGTTGGTAAATATAATTCAACACGGAATCCTAGCTTTTTGATAGCCAAAAGTGCTATAACCAGTGTCCCATTTGTTATCAATCATACTCAACTGATGCAAAAGATGATTGGGGTACTCTTGTAACTCCTGGACTAAAAAGTCCTCAGCCCTCAGAACAGCTCCATATTTAGAGTTGTATTACAGACCGAGGCAAGGTGAAGGAATCTGGTTGTCTCAAAGGAGAAAAAGAAGGAGAAAGTTACTACTTTTTGTGAGTCTTTATATATAATAAAATTATTGATTAAGTGTTGATACCTTTCTTTCAGTACTAAATATGCCAGTTGTACAGAAAAGTACAAAGATTAATAGAACAAGCACCTATGTATCCACTGCTCAAATTTAATAGATACAAACATTTTGGCATATTTGCCTCATATTTTTTTCTAAGCACCTTTCTTTAAGGACTAATAAGTGCTATACATAATATAAAATAATATTAATTGGAGATTTTATGTTCTCTATTCCCAGACATGGGGGGAAAATAGATATTGTGTGATTTTTCTCTGGAAAACTTCATAACAGTCTTCCTTTTCTGAGACATGAGAGACAGTTCTCCTGGAATTATTCCCAGTTTAAATCCAATTCCCTTTCCCCATTTGAGGATGTAATGAGATGCTTTAAAGTGCATATAGATTAAACCAGCTCATAAAATATAGTAAACAGACAAAACTCCTTAGTTCAGGAAACTAAAAAAAAAAAGTGAAAGACAGCCATAGGCATAATAAAATGAAGGATTGGTCAGCCCCTTTTATATCTTCAGAAATCTGTCGTTGAGCTTGGAGGCCAGATAAAATTGAAGGAAGAACAGACATGTTTTGAAGCCCTTAGTCTGGGATGAGGTCCAGATTTTACTTATCTCAGCCATGAAGTCAATGATTTCTTTCCTTATGCGATGAGTTTTCTCTTTTTGATTTTCAGCAAATGTATGCACAGCTTGGTTAACCTCTTAGTGCCAGATGGGGTGCCGAATACAGAACTCTGTCCCATGGAAGAAATTTGGGGCAGTTTTGAAGATGCTCTGATCTTTATTAGCCACACTGTAAGTCAAACAATGATATTAAACTTTAAGCTAATTTTAAAGAACTGAGTTGTCTTGTGTATTAGAAATTACATAGAATAATGCTTTTTGATATGTTTTATGGTGAATAAATTCGTTTTAAAATGTGGTTACACACTATAAAATTTCCCTGGGTTTGTGAAATGTAAATATTAACAGTTAAAAGTAGAAAATTTCTAATACAAGTGTACTATGGAATAGGTCAAAGTGTACCATCTGGCATTTTTAATTATTTTGTATTTTCAAATCTGGTAGAGTTGTTATTTTCTTGTGATGATATTAACTCTTTGGAAAAGTTTATTGTTATTCCTGCCACTTCTGAGACAAGTAATAGAGTAGAAGGAACACTGAAGATGACCTATATTTTAGTTCCTCCTCTGTTGATTTTCTCTTCAGTGTAGGTTTAATTCAGTAATTTTCAAATTAGCTTTATTAAGATGTAATTTACATACCATAAAATTCACTTATTGTTTGTGTATAATTCTGTGATTTTTAGTACATTTATGGTTATGCAACTGTCACCTTACTCCAGTTTTAGAGTATTTCCATTACCCACAGAAGTTTCCCATTGCAGTTAATCCTTGCTTCCATTTTCAGGTCCAGGGAACCACTGATCTGCTTTTTATCTCTATAGATTTTCTCTTTCTAATACTTCATATAAATGAGATCATACTTGTGACCTCTTGTATCTGGCTTCTTTCAATTTAGTTTACTGTTTTTGAGGTTCACCCATGCTGTAGCATGCATCAGCAATGAAAAGGAATGGCCTTTTTTTTTTTGATGAATAAATAGAATACTATTCATCAGTATGTCACATTTTGTTCACTAGTTGGTAAATACTTTGTTTCCAGTTTTTGACTATAACAAATAATGCTACTATGAACATTTGTGGATAAGTCTTTGTTTTCAAGGGTTTGTTTTCAGTTCTCTTGAGTATGTGAATTAATGGGTTATATGGTAACGCTCTATATTTAACTTTTTGAGGAACTGCAGTCTGTTTTCCAAAGTTGTTGATCAATTTTATGTTCCTATCAGCAGTGTATGAGGGTTCCAATTTCTTCACATCCTTATCAACACTTCTTATTGTCCATATTTTTTTTATTATAGCCATCCTACTGGGTATGTAATAGTAGCGCATTGTGGTTTTTATTTGAGCTTCCTTGGTAGCTAACACTGGTGATCTTTTTTTCATGTGCTTATTGACCATTTGTTCTTTGGAAAGATACCTATTCAAGTATTTTCCCATTTTAAAAATTGGATTCTCAGTGAGTTTTAAGAGTTCTTTATGTATTCTAGATACAAATCCTTTATAAAATATACTATTTGTAAGTATTATCTCCCAGTCTCTGGCTAGTCTTTTCATTTTTTAGTGGCATTATTTAAAAAGCAAATGTTCTGAAAAATAAAAAGCAAATGTTCTGAATTTTGATGAAGCCCAATTTGTCATCTTTTCTTTTATGGGTCATGTTTTTAGTCATAATAAGAAGTCTTTGCCTATTCCAAATTTACAAAGATTTTTTCTATTTTTTTCTTGTAGCTTTTATACTCATTTCTTACATGTTGGTCTGTGATTCATTTTGAGTTAATTTTTGCTTATGGTGTATGAGGTAAGGGTCTGAATGGTTTCTTATTTGTTTTTGCATAAGGTTATTTCTCCTCTACTGTTTGACTTTAGTTTTCTCATGTAAAATGGAAATAATAATACTTTCTCTTACTCCTACACTGAGGTTCTAAGGATCAACTGAAATAATATGTGTTGTGAACTTTAGCAGCTCATATACATGTAAGGTAGTATTGCTTTTGTAAGGGAGCTATAAAATATTAAGAAGGTTAAATGGCCTGCTTAAAGTCACACAAAAAGTCATTATTTGAGTCCATGTTAATATCCAAGGATCCTGACTTGCCCAACTGCTTCTTCATATTACAAATGTCTGCAAACCACAACAGATGGTGGAATAATATAGCAGGGTGACAACCTGGTACAAACTAGCATCGTTTTACAGAAACCCAGAATTCTGGAACTATGTAATTATGGCCAGTGTGAATTTAAGTTTAAAAAAAAACTTCAACATTGAACATTTTGGAGATATATACATCTTTTTTTTTTCCTCATCTTAACTTCCTTTTGGAAGAAGAAATAATTTAATTTCTAAGCCATGAGCCTCATCTGGACCTTCAAATGTGTTTGCCATAGTAACGAATACAAACTAAAATTAAATTGTACTATAAATTCAAATTGATCAATTTCCATAGTCTCTATATAAGGCCAGAACTACTCTGAGCATTTTGGTTTTGCCACTTTTATTCTGTCTAATGTATTACTGTTCCATCTCTGACTCTTGAATTGCCTGTTAGGTTAATATTTTTTTTTTTTAAGTTCAAGTTTTTATTAATAATCTTAGAACAAATATGTTAACAATTCCTCAGTTATATAGCATTTTTACAATTCTGAAAGAACTTTGACATATACCAATTAAACCCTCACAACATCCCTGTAAGGTAGGCAGGGTTGGTGTCAGTTTCCTATTACTAGTGAGAACAAGGCTCATGGGTGAAATAAGGTCACACAGTTGGTTAGTGATGGAGCCAGGACTAGAACCTAGGCCTTTGACATGCTGCCTCCCTGAGAACATTCAAGTAATGACATCCTACGCTACATAATGAACATTTCTCCTATGATGATCAGATCTATTTTTATAAGTTTGATATCACCTTTTCCTATTATCCAAAATCAGTGAATCACAGTTTTGATGAGACATTTCTTCCATGTTACTGGACTATTTTTCTTTGATGTATCAAGCACCATCCTAAGATGAAACTTAACCTGAGTCTTAAGTTTTGAGGATCTTTGGCTATAAGTTCTAAATTGTGATATGAAAGTTTATTTTAGAAGTTTTACAAAAGTATTCGCATGTTGAATATGTCAACTTACTTAACAAAAACAACACAAGCCTGTTTATGTTTTTGAAAGCTTTGTAGTTTTTCCCAATAAGGCGTTTAGATGTGTACAAGTGGAAAATAGGGAAAGGTATTTGGCAATATTATTGGAAAGCCTATACAGAGTACACCTAAATGCAAGTCACATCACACTAATTTGTTTGCTTTGGCCTTCTATAGGAAGGAAAACCCTTAGAAAACTTTCAGGTGTGATCCCATCTTATGTGTGACATTCTCAGCAACAAGCTGAAAATTGATCTGCATTATACCAATAGTAGGGTTCAAGCAGTAGTGATCAAAACATATATGCAGGTGGTAAAAAGGAAGAAAACATTTGCTCTTCAGTGGTTTTGCCTAGGTCCAGTGTAAATATACTTATCAAGGCAGATTTTAAGCTATACCATCTTCTGTGTTAAATTTTGAAATGTGAAATACGGTGGAGTTATCAACTTGGAATATAAGGTTGAAACTGAATATAACTGACCCAGAAACTACCTGTCAAAAGCAGAGGAATGCTCAAAGGGCATAAAAGGCAAGGGATAAAACAACTGCTCTGATATGGAGAGAAAAACAGCAAATGTAAATCTTCCAGTTAAAGTAAACCACAGACCATTAGGCATGTGAAGCAGGTTTTAAAAATGACACAACTATATTATCAGGAGTTATATTCCTAACAGTCCAGTTTTAAAGAGCAATAGGGAGAAACCTAAGCCTGTGGAGAGGAGGTAGTGCAGAAAATGAATAGAATGTAGAAATGGGGCTGAGGAGGTGGGAGGTTACAGTTTAAATATATTCAAAATGAATTCAGAATCCGTTTAAATCTATCCCCTCCAAAAAATGTTTGCTAAATTAAGAGATTTGGTCAAAAAAGCATGTGATGGCAGAAGTGACTATTTTATCTTCAAAAGAAATATTTAAATATAGATTAGAAATTAGGCTATTAAAGATTAGTCCACTGATCAGGCTTAGAAACTGAAACTTAAGTGCTACCTCAGATACATTGCAGAAAGCTGTTTCCAAAAACAGAATTACTGTAGCAGGAGTCAACATGAATGAAACCATTAAAAAACAAGCACTTAGCTTTATACTTTAAGCCTAGTGAAAAAACATTGGTACCCTTAAGAAATCTAATAGTTTAAACAAACGTGAAAAATACTGCAGCTACATTTAAGTTTTCTAAGATAAAACTTGAGATCAAGAATGTTCTAGTTTGGTATACGGATTCAGAACCAACTACAAGTTTGAAATGCATAGAGACTACATTGTATTTCTTACATAGTATCATTGTCATCATCATCTTCATGTTTTCTCTTCAGTGGGTTTGATTCATTGGCTGTGTTCTGTGATGAAACCATGTTGGTGGTAATAAGGATATTTTTGGGCCCAATCATTGAAGGATTAAGCAGAACATTCTGAACTGCAGTTGTTGCAGGAACTGGTTTGACAGGTGTGGACTGAGAAGGTGGAATCTGCACCGTGAATCTTTGGCTTGTCACTGACACTGGAGGTGCAACTTTATTTGGGACAGATGCTGTTTATAGGGTTGCTATGCTTGGAGTAGTGGGTCTGCTACTAACAGCTCCAACACTTAACCGTGGAACTAGTCGTCCTTGGTTAGGTCCCTTTTTAATTAAGGACTTTAGCCTATAGTTTGGAGCTGTCAAGCAGTATCTGTCAGGTGGCAGTCTGGGTCCTGCATATGGCTTAATCAGCGGTAAAGGGGTTTGATTTTTCTGCCTTGCGATATCCAGTAAAAAATCTCTTGGGGGAGGGGAGGTAAAAGATTGGTCAGCCCGACATTGGATTGCCAGTCTCACATCATCTGCATCAATGTTAGGTTTCTTAGCGTGGCTTGAATAAATTTTTGCATCATCCAGAATTGAAGTCACGTATCGGAAAGCAAATTCCAACATTTGATTTATAACCCTTGGTTCGTACTCTGTAATTCCCATATCCTTCAGAATCTGTGCCATCACCAAGGCATCTCTCGGAGCATTCTTGGGAGGCGCCATCTTGCCTGACTCCATGTTATCCTGCGCTCGTCA